CTGATCTGGTTCGGTAGGAATCCCATAACCAATCATTGAAATTGAAAGATGAACTGCATTATCATCTTCATTAAGAAGCTTATTTTCAAGCTTCCTCTGCTTCTTCCTTTTCCACAAATCATAACCCAAGTTTTGCCTTTGCTTGTAATTGGGATCATTGCATAATGGCTTCCTATCTTCTACCATAAGAAGTGCATCAGTAACCTTAGCCATTTGATCAGCACATATAAAATCTGTCAATTCTGCAATTGATGAATCTGAACCACATCTCTCCATGGTTATTGAAGCCTCAACCTCTGAGAATCCCATTTTTGTCAAGTATAACAGTTTACTCTCCTCATCAGAATCAGAATTCATGATTTCCTAGATATCAGAAGAACTATCAATATCTGTGAAATCATCCTGAAAGATCGCTTCATAATCAGATGAGTTGTTATCAGGATCAACATGTTGCATGGGTGCGGATTTTTGATGAGCTTGTACCATTGTATGTAGTCTTGCCATTGTATCAGATTACTGTTTGCATAAATTGGTTTCTCTCCCACAGAAAAGTATATTTCAGAGATGGCCTTCACTGAAAGATGATAAGCCACTGTGTCAGCCTGGAACGGATTACCAAGCTATTTTTACTACTCTGTCCGACTAAATCCCTCCAGATACAAAAAATGGTCACCTCATTCAGAAGACACATATCTCAGACGTTTCTGTCAGAATGATTGAGTACTTCTTAAGTTTGTAATAATATCAAGAGAATTTCTCCAGTTACTTGACAATATTATTGTTTAGTGACACCAGAATGAGAGTATTCAGGATAAACATATTTGGAGCACGAATAAAGCCACAAGTATCCACCACAGTGTATTGTCAAAATTGAACCTTGTAGGGATCATGATATTCAAGTCAAACAGACGTCGAGAGTAAACCAGAAATTGAAAATTGAGGCATCTAGAAAGCCCAATTTAGACAGATCTAGAGGGACATATTGAAGGCCAATTTCTACCAGAAATAGAATATTGGGGCATTTTGAAGGCTCACAGCAATATGAATATTTGGGCATTTTGGAGGCTCATCTCAACAAGAAGTAATGTTGAGCACACTTTTAACATCTGTATCAGCAAATGTTAGGGCATTTTAAAGGTTCCTTCAGACAGATCCATGTGGGCATTTTGAAGGCTCAGATTAACAAGAAGCAAATATCGGGGCATGTTGAAAGCCCATTTCAATCAGAATTAGGTCTGTTGATGCATTTTTGAACGATCGTATCAGCAATTGTTGGGGCATGCTGAAGGCCCACATCATCATTTGTCAAGATCATTGACTTGAACAGATATTTCCAATGAGACAGAAAGGTATGAAGAATGAAAATTGTGAAACAATGACAATGAAGCTGACTATACATAATTGCTTCGTTCATCAGGCAGTTACATTATGATCATGTTGTTGAAAAAATATCTACTCAGCAAATATGTTTTCAAATACCCAATCTTCTTAACCATGTGTCACATGATAGCGTGTTCCTTATTAAGCTACATCACAATCGCATGAATAAAGATGGTCCCTTTGTAGACCATTCGATCCAAGGATCAGTTCCTCGAGGCCTCGAAATCTGAATTTGGCCTTTTGTGTGTCAGTGATAATTGAAAATATTTCTTTGAGGTTCCTGGCAGTTAGTTTCAACCATAATGTTGAGATTATGAAGCTGTTTTTCACATCAGTTTTTTGCTTACTTGATGACATTGAAAAGGGAGACTCGACTCTCCCTTATATTACTGTTATTCCCGTTGTTATTGGGATCATCATTGCTAGCCAGGATGAACTGAGTTTTCATCTATTTTGGTTTTATCATGGGTGTTTCATCCCCAGCGGCAAGAATTCCATGAACCTCTTCTTGTACATGGCCTCTATAGCTGATATGTTTCTAATTCTTACAACGCTCATTACAGAAGAAAACGTGATCAGTATTATATTTGCCTTTGCCCGATATGAAAACGTGATCAGTTGATATCTCCTATTCAATTCGACACTAGTACATTTTGTGAATTTGACCAACTTTTTGGTCATACTAATATCACACTTGAATCTCCACTGAGTTTTGCTCTCAAATGGTCTTATGACATCATTCAAAAGCTTTGAACACTAGGCAAAGAGCTTCAATGATTAAGAAATCTTGGCAGAAGCCACAGAAAAGGATGAATGTGTTGTCAAACGCTTTATGAACATCTGAGCAAAAACCACAAGAAAGGATGAATGTGTTGTCAAATGTTTTACAAACATCTGAGCAGAAGCCACAGAAAAGGATGAATGTGTTGTCAAGTGTTTTACATCTCGACAGAAACCACAGGAAAAGATGAATGTATTGTCAAATGTTTTATGAACCAGTGATTATAGTGCTGAACCAATGTTGTGATCATATGGTTTCCATTTTTGATCCAAGATGAAGTCTGTCTTCTTCAACCCCAAGATTAGAAGTTGAGATATGATGAAGATTTCTTTCCACAGAAGGAGAGCTGAAATTTTAACAACAAGAAACTATTGGAGCCAACTAAGATCAAATAATAGGTTGTTGTTAAACATCTTTACATGATATGGTTTGAATTGCTTTGTTCGAGATCCAATTAGATGTGGAGACATGAAAGGAATTGGAATAAATCCTCCTTGTGATATGTTTCAAGAGTCAAATCAGAACATACTCTACTCTCTTAATTAATCCCTGCTGAGTCAGGCATATCTACATCTACACTCTTCAAAGATGATAGATTCTCTTTTTAAAGATGACAGATTCTCTTTTCAAAGATGAAAACTTTATGGGATTTCTACACAAGTCCAAACAAATAAAGTTGGTTTTATCCAAGACAAAATGGGGCATTAAGGTCATAATTCTGACTACGACAAGAGTTCCACAAATAAAACAATTCTTCTGAGACTTTCATGAAGCAAAGAATACATAAAGATACAAGTTGATCAGATAGTTCTTCAGAAATGCAAGCTTGATAGCATAAGTTGCTACACTGATATCCAGAGGTGACCCTGGCAATAAATGATGAAGTGGAGGAAAACCGAGTTCACCATTTTGAAGTCAAATGAAGATTGCATTAACATTCATGCATCATATTTAGACATTTGCAAAATAGGAGCATTTTCATTCATTTTATCCATGTTGAATATTTGACAGGAATTTCAAAATTTTAGCAAAGATTCAAATCCATCATATGATGGATCAACTTTTCGCTTGAATTCATCATTCGATGATTCAGTATTTTCAGTTCGAGTTCATAATGAGAAGAACTCATCTGAAGAAGGAAGAAGAAGTTCATAATGAGAAGAACTTGTTCAACTTTTCGCTTGAATTCATCATTCGATGATTCAGTATTTCCAGTTCGAGTTCATAATGAGAAGAACTCATCTGAAGAAGGAAGAAGAAGTTCATAATGAGAAGAACTTGTTCAACTTTTCGCTTGAATTCATCATTCGATGATTCAGTATTTCCAGAGGTAGAGTTCATAATGAGAAGAACTCGTCATCTGAAGAAGGAAGAAGAAGTTCATAATGAGAAGAATTTGTTCAACCTTTTACTTGAATCCATCATTTGCTGGATCAGCCTTTCCAGGTAGAGTTCATAATGAGAAGAACTCATCTGAAGAAGGAAGAAGAAATTCATAATGAGAAGAATTTGTTCAACCTTTTTGTTTGAATTCATCACTTGATGGATTATTGTTGCCAGAGGTAGAGTTCATAATGAGAAGAACTCGTCATCTGAAGAAGGAAGAAGAAGTTCATAATGAGAAGAACTTGTTCAACCTTTTGCTCAAATCCATCACTTGATGAATCAACTTTTCCAGAGAAGTTCATAATGAGAAGAACTCATCTGAAGAAGGAAGAAGAAGTTCATAATGAGAAGAATTTGTTCAACCTTTTTTCTGAATTCATCACTTGATGGATTATTTTTGCCAGAGGTAGAGTTCATAATGAGAAGAACTCGTCATCTGAAGAAGGAAGAAGAAGTTCATAATGAGAAGAATTTGTTCAACCTTTTGTCTGAATTCATCACTTGATGGATTATTTTTGCCAGAGAAGTCCATAATGAGAATAACTCATCTGAAGAAGGAAGAAGAAGTTCATAATGAGAAGAATTTGTTCAACCTTTTTTCTGAATTCATCACTTGATGGATTATTTTTGCCAGAGGTAGAGTTCATAATGAGAAGAACTCGTCATCTGAAGAAGGAAGAAGAAGTTCATAATGAGAAGAATTTGTTCAACCTTTTGTCTGAATTCATCACTTGATGGATTATTTTTGCCAGAAAAGGTTCATAATAAGAAGAACTCATCTGAAGAAGGAAGAAGAAGTTCATAATAAGAAGAATTTGTTCAACCTTTTGCTCAAATCCATCACTTGATGGAGCAGCTTTTCCAGAGAAGTTCATAATGAGAAGAACTCATCTGAAGAAGGAAGAAGAAGTTCATAATAAGAAGAATTTGTTCAACTTTTTGCATAATTCTATCACAGAAGGAGATAGATTAGCATCAGCCTTTCTAGAGAAAGTTCATAATGAGAAGAACTCATCAAGAGCTTATTCAACTTTTTGAATGACTCTATCACAGGAAATAGGTCAACATCATCCCCAGCGGAAAGTTCATAATGAGAAGAACTCTTCTGAAGAAAGAGAAGAATTTATTCAACATCTCCATATTAATCAAGTGAAGAAGAGATGGATACAATCCACAAGAATGAAAATTATCTTGAGATTAGGCCATGTTACCCAATCAACATGTTATTTCAAAAACATAATGAGAAAACGATTTCCATAGTTTCTCATTCAATCTTTTCTGAAAATGAAATCGTTGAATAGTAAGAAAACAATTTCCATATTTTCTTACTTAGTAAACTATTTCCCACATCTGTAAGTCCTTCAGTGCATGATGTTTCCAAAAAGCCTTCAGGAGCTTTTTAATGTTTTCAAAACCTTCGGGTCATCTGTAAGTCCTTCAGTGCATGATGTTTTCAAACATTTCTATCCTGCTCGAAAGAAGCCAAATGAAAAAATTATTGTCTTTTTCGTCTTTGCTCTATTCTTGTTAACACAAGGATGAGCAAAGAGGGGCAGCTGTAGACATCATTTTTTTCATTTAAATTTATTATTATTATTATTAAAATTATTATTATTATTAGTATTATTATTATTATTATAATTATTATTATTATTATCATTATTTATTATTATTATTATCAATATTATATATTATTATTATTTAATAAATAATTACAACTGGACCGGCCCAGTTACAAACCAACCAGAACCGGTCCAGACAACCAGAAACCCTAAACGATTAGTAAGGTTTCAGCTAGGGTTTCTAAACCCTAGCCACCCCCAGCCGCCTCTGATGCTTCCAGAATCCCAGCCGCCTCTGATGCTTCCAGAATCCCAGCCGCCTCTGATGCTTCAAGAATCCCAGCCGCCGCCTCACTGCCAGGTGGTCCAATGCCCCACTGCCGACGCCTCCACCGCCATTGCCGACACTCCATAACGTCGAGAAGCTACCCACGTTGAGCCCTATGGTGAGTCACCACCATAGCTATGGTGACTCACCGGGCCTTTCATCTCTGGAACCGGTCCAACGAGAGCCTCGGTGGTGGCTATAAAAGCCACCCCACCTGCAAGAAAGAAGAAAGACAGCCACAGACGGCAGAGAACGACAAGAAAAAAAAAACAGAAAAGAAAAAAACAGAGAAAGAGAACACAGCAACCAACAAAGCAAGAACTACACCAACGATCCCAGGAAATACAAACCAAAAGAAGAGAAAAAGAGACTTACCGAGAAAATCGCCGTCGTGAGAGCCTCCACAAATCATCAGAGAACCAAAACGTCGAAGAGAAATATCCTAGATCTACGACGATTGGTAAGGTTTTAAGCTAAAATAACCTTAGATCTAGATATAGAAAAACAGAGGCTTTGATTTGGGGTGGGTTTTGTAATTTTCGGCCACCGCTAACGGTGGCCGGCGGCAGCAATCGGAGCCCGACAGCGGTGGCTGACCGGGCCGGCTTCTCTCTAATTTTAGAGAGAAGCCAGAGAGAAATCTTCTTCTCTCTGTTAGAGAGAAGAAGAGAAATGAAGAAATGAATGGTTGGCCCGAAGGGCCAACCGGTTTAGGGTTTATAAACCCTCTTACATACGACGTCGTTTAAGGGGGAGGGGTATCTGTGTAATTAACTAAAGGTTAAACCCTTTCAGTAGCCATCTAAACTTGTAACTCTTACATTCTAGTCACTAAATCAAATTTATAATCCTTTTAATTCGGTCCTTTAATTTTAGATTTATTTATTTTAGTCCTTTCTATTAAATAATATATTTAGGATAAATACGTATTTAGTCCTTTAGTTTTAATAAATAATATTTTAATCCCGAGTATATTTTTAATTTATTTAAATCTGATATTGAATTTTTTTTATTTTTATTTTAGTCATCAAATTAATAAATAAGGAAAATAGCATTTTTAATCCCTATAATTTTAAATAATTAATTATAAATTAGGTATTTAATTTTATTAGATTATAATTTAGTCCCTAAGTTAAATGTTTTCATTTATTTTACGAGCTTTATTATTTTTTTTATTGTATTTTAAATATTATTCAATCATATGTTACCTTTTTTTTATGTTCATACATATTTAATTATCATTACTATTATTATTATTATTCTTTATTAATTATGTCAATATATATAGTCTTATAAAATATATATAATATTTATTTATTCTATTTTCCTATTTATAAATTTAATTTTATAAATTACTTTTAAGAAAAATAATTATATTTTGATATTTATTTATTTTTAATATCAAAGAAAAAAGTTGTCTTAAGGTACCTAGAAGCTTTTTTCTGATATTTTTTTGAATAAATAAATATCTTACTATATTAAAATAAAATGTTTTTTTTATTTATTTTTAAATATTAAATAAAAGAGCTGTCTTAAAGCACCTAGAAGCACTTTTCTGATATTTCTAAATAAGTAAATATATTATTTATGTATATTAATATATTTTCTTTAAAATTTTGAAATAGTAGAATTATAAATTAAATATATTTTTGAATTTTTAAAATTTTAATAATAGAGACAATTTATAGTTAATAAAGTACCAATTTTGGGCGTTATAGGGGTGCTAATCCTTCCCTAAACGTAACCGACCACGAATCCCTTTTTATTATTAAAAAGAACGAATTTTTGGTTAAAACGCAGATCAATTTATCTTTTAATTGATGTTTTCTTAAAAACTCTTTTAAAAGATATTTTTTAGGTATTCGACCTACCTGATCCAAAAAGGCCGATGGCGACTCCCAAATTATTTTCAAAACCATTTATTCATATCACTTTTCCCGCCAAACAAATAAATTCGTGCCCGGACGAAAATCAGTTACGACACTTTTCGCATCCAGTGGCATACTTTTCATGGTAACGGGATCTTTAACATCGATTTCCTCAAGACCGAGATGATTCAACCCCTGCCTAGACTTGATCTTAGCCTGTTCGTGTCTAGGCAGAGAATCCCATTCTGGTTTCCAAGTGCAAACGGTTCCTGGACCGTAGGTTTCGGTCAGGCCATACGAGTGAATCACCCTAAATCCCAGTTCTTCCATTTTGAAAAGCACATGAGGGGGTGGCGGTGCAGCTCCCGTCATGACCATGACCTTCCCCGGAAGACGGCTTTGGTCGCTAGCTGGTGCGTTGATTATCATGTTCAAAACCGTAGGTGCACCACCCATGTGTGTCACCCTGTGCTTAGAAATATTACGAAATATTCCGCCTGCAGCGACATTTGTTAAGCATACATTCGTACCACCCTGAGCAGCAATTCCCCATGTCAGACACCATCCATTGCAATGAAACATGGGAACACACCATAAATATACCGGCATCGAGGTCATCTCATTGAGAAGAACCGCCGCTAGAGAATTGAGATAGGCACCTCGGTGACTAAAAATAACACCCTTCGGACTCGATGTTGTGCCTGAAGTATAATTAAGTGAGATAGGTTCCCACTCGTCTTCCGGTCTTATGATCTCAAAATCTAGTTTCCCCATTCCTAAAAGACTGTCATAGTCCATGTTCACATATGTCGAGTTGGTGTTGCCGCCGGAGGGAATTTGCTGGTCATGATCCAAAATCAAGACCAGTCGGGGCAGCTTACCTATTGTCTCGGATAGTATTTTCAAAGCTCCCTGAGCAACGTGGAGGAATTGGTAATCTACAAAAAGGGCTTTGGCTTCTGAATGCTTCAATAACAATGCCACCATAGGGGAATCATGACGTATATTGAGCGTACATAGAACTGCCCCAGCCATTGGAACACCAAAATGAAGCTCGTACATTGCTGGAACATTTGGGGCTAATACAGCAACCTGCTCTTAAACAGGGAAAGATTTGTCCTATGTAACAGAGAAGAGCTGGAGACTCCAACACCAACTTGGGATTCAGTTCGTAAAATGAAAACGCAACCTCCAAAACCAACTCAAACGGAATATAATGATAAGAGGACTAAACTACTGGAGAAATATAACAAAATTCCCACAAATCAATAGCCAAAATAACGTTATTTGGAGGTTTAACAAATTAATCTAAACACAGCAGAAAATTACTGGAAAGAAGACGAAGAGAGGATTACCACATCTCGACGGAAGATTCCGAGTTGGGAAAGCGCAGAAGCGAGGCGGACGCACCTCTGACGAGTTTGTTTCCAGGTAAACTTGACATCGCCGTGGGCGACGGAGACGGAGTCTGGGTAGACAAGAGCGGCGCGGTCCAAGAAGCTGATCGGAGTTAAAGGGACGTAGTTGGCGGAACACTTGATTGAACCTTCCATACCTTCTTCAACAACACTTGGGGTAGGGGAATTTGCAATTGCTACGTAAGAGATGAATGGAAGAAGATGAGATTTCGCATGGATTGTGATTTTGTTTATGATAAAAAACGACAGGTAAAAGGATAAACCGAAATGCCACTGTTTTATTTTATTTTATTGGCTTTTATATCTCACTGCTGTCATTGTCATAATCTGCTTGCCTTCTATCAGTGCCTTGAGAGTACACTATTTTGGTAACGGAATAAAAGAATCATCTAACTAATATTAGATGCGTATGAATTACTATAATTAAAATTAATTTACATACCTAAATTTTAATTTATATAACTTTTTTTTTAAATTTATAATTTTTATTTAAATTTTAAATTTTAAAAATTTAAATTAATATATATAATAAAAGTATATCTAAATATGTATTTAATACCTAAACTATTAATTTTAATTCGTTATAGTACCTAAACTTTCAATTTTTTCTAAACTATACCAAACGGTAAGTTATGTTTCATTTTAGTATATGTAAACTATCATTTGAGTATCTAAACTTTTAATTGTTTCAAAAATTAACATAAAGTTTAGATATTAAAATAGATTAAAACTGATAGTTTATATATTAAGTATGTAATTTACCCTAAATAATTAGCTAAATAAAATCATTCATAAAAGAAGAAAGAAATGATATACTTCCGGTCTTCATTATTCTACACCAACTTTTCGTTTTTGTCTTTGCTTAGTTGTCACGCGAATAGTTGCAGAGTTGCAGACACAGTTACTTGGCGTTATTACTTTAAAAATTCCAAAAAATATTTTTTTAACAAGACCCCCAAATTAGATTTACTAAAAAAATACTTCTTAAATTGTACAAGTAAGATTATCTCATATTTTAAGAAAAGTGAATAAAGGTTTCACGTTATACGGGTGTGAGTTTTCTTCATCGCGAATATACTTTTTAAAGAATACAATTTAATACTTCAATTAATAACCTCACATTACGTAGAACGTGATATTCCCAAGATATCGACAAAATATCGCATTCTCAAAATATTTAAAATTTGAAATTTAAAATTTGATTCCACAACCTCGCATCTTAGATAGCTCGAGGTTCTTTTGTGTCTTTTCCACATACCTTGCGTCATTTACAATACGGGTGCGTTTGGTTCACGGAATGTAAGATTACCAGTGAGAATAAAAGATTACCAGGGAATAGGATTACTGGGAATGTTGTATTTTGTGTTTGGTTGGTTTAGCAAGAATATAAGATTACCGTGTTTGGTCAAAGGAATAAAAGATTATTGGAATGTATATTTGACCAAATTGTCCTTATTATATATTTGTATAATATTACAAATTGTAAAATATTTATATATTTTCTTTAAAAAATTAAATTCATAATATTTATATAATTTTTTTACAAAATTAAAAATATAAAAAATGTTTAATGAAAGGGTAAAAAAAATTTAACCCCTAAACTTCATATAAAATTTTAATTATAGATTTTTTTTGTAAATCTAAAATAATTTAAGGATAAATTTGTAATTTAACCTTCGTAGAATTTTTATTATTCAATGACAGAAGAATGATATTTTTGAAAAAAAATAAAAATTTAAGGATATTTTAGTCCAAAACGCCGGTAATGTTACAATACCTAAGGGAAGGGAGGTAATGACATTCCCGGTAATATACCCCAAAAAATCTACTATTGGTAATAAAACATTACCGGGAATGAGATTCCCGGCCAACCAAACATGGGAATGCAGGATTCCCATCCCATGGGAATCCCACATTCCTTGAACCAAACACCCCCTACAAGTTTTCTTTTACCACACTTCATGAGGTGCAAGGACTCCTATAAATAGTATCCCCAAAACCGAATTTATCACACATTTCTTCCAAAATATATCTCTCTCATATTTTTCTCTCTTACCTATTCTATTATGATTATTATTGCATGATTACTGAGGCTTGATCGAAGTCATGTATTCGATTATTACCATACAAATCTAGAGGTAATTTTTATTTATTTATATATTTTGAATAATTTATTTATTTGTTTGTTTGTTTTTTTTGAAAATTTATTTATGTATATATTTATTTCGAATAATTTATTTATTTATTTAAAGGGGGTATGAACATTCATTGGTGTGTTATATAAATCGTTTCACGGACGTTGATAAAGATAATCTTCCATATTTACATGAAGTCAGTTTTGGTTACGTTAGCACTATAATTGGTGGTACAAAGTTGCATCCTCCACTGATAAATGCATTGCTAGAACGGTGGAGACCGGAGACGCACACCTTTCATTTTCCTTGTGGTGAGGCGACTATTAACCTTGAAGATGTTGCATTCCATTTTGGGTTGCATGTTGACAGAACGACTATTATCGGTATTGCCCATGGATACTGGGTCGGCCTGTGTGAGGAACTGCTTGGACTTACTCTGATAGATGACGATATAGATGAAGGAAATATCAAGATTAAACTTTTGGACGATAATTTTTCACATATACCCGCCAATGCTACTCTAGTAATTAAGGAGAAAATTTTTGAAATCTACATTTATTTATTTTAAATTTTTTATTTATACTATTGAAATTTTATTTTAGTTTATGTTATTGTAGTTTTTTATGATAATTTTTAATTAATTAGTATCATTTTTATTTTATACCAATTTGCTCATGCTCATATTTTATGAGTTATTGGGGGATCTTGATGTCTAATATATCCAGAACAAAGTGTAGCTAATGTGGTTGTATCATTTACTCGTTTTGTTGGACTCCAAATATAAGAGTTGGGGATCAACAATGTTGGTTTTTTTGTTTCGAAAACTATGTAAAGTTGTTGATCCGGACAAACAAGTAATTGGAAGTTGTTTGATGTTGTTACAATCGTGAGCTTGGTTTCGAATACCATTTTTATATTCAATTCCTACACAACTAACCCCATTTGAATTTCCATTACTTCAGAAGTAATTAAAAATAAACTATGTTTATATTTTAGATTATTATATGTTTTTTAGGGTTTTAAAAATAATTATATTTTGTTATATGAATGATAGATTGAATGTTACACTCACACCCACCTACCAAAATATTTGCATGATTTTAGATTGTTGATCGATAAGATTACAGACGAGGTAATCGATTTCATATTTTTTAATTTAAAATCATTTTTTAATTCGAGTTTATATTAGTTTAAAAATATTTTTGTAGTTCTTGTAGACGTCTACAATGATTATTCTATTAGATCGTGTACTCCGACTGAAATAGGTCTCAGTTTGGGTGTTTGGATGTCAATGGTCCTGTTAATAGTTTATGAGATGGTCGAGTGACATCTTACCGATCGCGTTCTATGGCAATTTAACTGTGTCCAAACAATTTCGTTACCACCACTAGACTTGGATGCATTGCATCACGTAACGCGATAGGGGAATACATATGTTAATTGGGAGATGCATCATGCAGAATGAGTGATACAGTGGATGGCGAGATTAAATAACTGGCTCGTTTGTCAACCCATCTTCGACTACAATGTTTCAAATGATTACATATTGTGGAACGAACAATATGGGAATCTGCATATACTGATCGAAGAGGAACGAGAACGAGAAATTTTTGTACTTCCCCAAAAGCGTCTACCGACGCAATGACCACTGATGCAATATGGTGCTAGAGGTGGAGGTGAATCAAGCCATAATAGAAGAAAATATGCATCAGCCTCATTATCGGGTATGACACAAGCACCTGTGTAGTCAGTAGTAGAGCATCAGATATCAGTGACACTAGCTGCATTCACCCACTCGATTCAGTCAACATCTCAGCATATACCGACTCCGACGAAAGGTTTTTAACCGATGTGTGGTGTTCTTATCCGACGGTGGTTGTCCCTTCCCATTGTCTTCCTATACCAGTTCAACCATATTATCTGTCACTTTCATCTGCATCTGTTCCACCATTGGCAATAGACTTTGGATCCGACAGTGTTGAGGAGATACCGCCACAGAACATGTTCTACACCGGTCTCAGTCTTAGTGCTAGTGGTGGTACTGGTGGATATAGGCATCACTAGTTTTTTTTTAAATGAAAAATATGTAATGTTTGAAAAAACTTATTGTAATTTTTTTAGTTAATCGAACTCCATTTTCTCTTTTTTAATCGAACTTGTAAAACATATTTAGTTAATCAAACTCGAGTTTCTTTTTTTGTTAATCGAACTTTTAAATTTTTTAAATAGTATTAATTAAGTTTGATAGATCAAATATTCAAAATATAAATCAAATTATCCTTCAACAACATGACACTTTATTTAAATACTGATTTATAAACATAATAAAAAAGAACTACATGAAGTTACGGTTAGTTGAAATGAATATAAGAGGAGTCAAAAGATTCTTTTTTGTATTATATGGAAATGTCTGAGGAAGACGGAGATGCTTCTTCCTCTTGGTCTCAACATTTACGAGCGTAATGTAGAAGAACTGGCTCTTTATTCTCTTAAGTTTTGGGACAACCAAGTTTCTTCAACGTTACTTAATTAATATGCTTCTTCCTCAACTTTTAAAGTCAACTCGATATTCATACCACTCACACGTTTGTAAGCCCTAAACATCTTTCGAAGGTCCTTTCCATTTGATAAGGTCAACATGTAATGTGCTTTAGGGTCGGACTCATCAACGGAAAATTTCTCTTGTAAAAAAACCATCTATCATGTTGTAGATTTTTTAAGCTTCGTTGAAATAAAAGCATACAATTCATATTTCTTGGTCTTTGTATTGAAGGCAGTGTAGAAATAATTTTCGGAATGAAACACAATTGCAGAAAAAATCTTGCCATTAATTGTTTCTTTACGAAGATATCTGTCCAACATGATTATCGTATCATTTATATAGGTAGATAAATTTAAATAACCTCTCACCTTGTATGTGTTTACGGTGAGGGTTATGCCACATCAGGAATCTCTCCATTCCTCACTTTCTACACAATGTGAGGTCCCTACCAAGTCAGGAATCTGATTCATGGTATTATATTAATTAGGTTTAAATTATT